TCTTGCAGTGAATCGGATATGCAATTACTTCAACAGACTGTGTCAACGCATCATTGATCCAGAGAAGATTATTAAACTAGAAGCAGAAATTGTGGAGACACTGTGTCAGCTAGAGAGATACTTTCCTCCAACTCTGTTTGATATCATGTTTCATCTTCCACTCCATCTAGCAAGAGAAGCACGATTGGGTGGCCCTGTATACTTCAGGTGGATGTACCCCTCTGAGAGGTAATCTTCCACTGCATCTAGAAACAATTAACTGCTACTATATGTATATGGTACTGACGATATCCTATATTTTTATTCGTAGGTATATGAAGACACTAAAAGCTTATGTCAAGAATTTTGCAAAACCAGAAGCTTGTATGGCTGAGGGTTATTTGGCTGGTGAATGCCTTGCATTTTGTATGGAGTTCCTGCAGAAATCTGTTCCAGTTGAAGAAGCAATGACAAGAAACGAAGATGTTGAGACGACTGAGAATGTTCTTGAAGGCCGAACGCTGCATAAAGCAACAGAAGTGACTCTTACTGACAAAGAGAGAGAAGTTGCTCACCGGTATATCCTCATGAATACTGCAGTGATCGACCCTTATGTTCAGTAAGTTAAAACTCCAAAGATTGTTACATGTGTCTTTATCTTCTCTCATACTAACTAAATCAATATACAGGATGCATTTAGAAGAACTTCAACATACGGATGTAAGATGTGCAAAAAATGAAACCATCTTATGGAAGTATCATACAGAAAGGTTTTCAGAGTGGATTAAAGAGAAGGTATGATTATTTTTTGTTTGTACTAATAAATCTGTACGAAGAACAAGGCTCAACTACAGATAATTAAGCCCACCAACATACAATCTGCGACTGCGTGGAACAATTGGGTTAAAGGAAGATGTACCACAGCGTTTAAGGTAATATAAAATGTGGATTGATTAGAGTCTGTGTGTATTAATATTAACTAACTGAAATTTTTATGTGCTTGTTTAGGAACAAAGTGATAAATACATGGAACTCAGGAAGGGCCAAATTCCTCATACTACTAGCCGTAAAGGGATGATTCGACTCGCAGATGAGATGGTATGTTTGTAAATTCCAAACCTTTGGAATTAGAAATGACTTAATTGCTGACAACGAATTCAAATAATTTGTAGAGGAAAAACAGTAGTGATCCTAGAAAGGTAACTAGAACAAAGGTTTGGGTCGCTGGTCACACGCATTCTGATGGAAGACCTGTGAGTCAAGAATTTGCAGAAACAATAGTAAGATAACTTTATTTCATTGATTTAAATTTACTTGCAATTTTGTTAGTATGAGGACAATTTACAGCAGTCGTAATATATGTTAATGCAGGAGAAGATTAAGAGAATTGACAGTGAAATGGGGTCAAGTTCAGATAATGTCGGTGAAGATGTTGTCACTCAGGTTCTAGGAAAGGATAACCCAGGAAGAATTAGGGGGATGGGGAGAGGGGTTACTGCAACCAAGTTGGCATTCTTACATGCGAGAGACTCCCATGTTCAGAAGCTTCAAGATACGCAAGCAGAACTAATCAACAAGATTGAAGATTTGAAAAATGTGGTCAAAGACTTAGCCGGCCAAAAGGTAAGTTCCTTACAATAGAGTTTTTGACAATATAGTCTTTTAAGTGCTATCTCTTGTTAAGAATCTTGTTTATTTTTGTATGTGTTAGAAAAATAACGAGTATCGCTCTACTTCTAAAGTTAGTGATATTAGCAAGGGAGGAATAAGGTGCCAGTTACTTGATTGGGTTTCAAATGATGATGTCGTTGTTGATGAAGGAGAATACCACTCTAGTGAACCCTTTTATAAGATTGGTCGAATTCCATTGGGTCCAAATGCGGCTGCTGTAGTAGTGAAGTCTGTCTTAATAGAAACATCATATATATGGAGACCTACAGCAACTTGTGCTAGGCTTGCTCAGGCGGTTGGAGTGAAAATTGCATGGCCAGCTGATAAGCTAATCCTGGACGATGATATTAACTTATCAAACAATGGTAACATCAACGGATCAGAGGTAATTATATATTCTTAAAATCTTACGTAATATACATTGAATACATGAGTACTGAAATTAATCTTTTTTAATGATTCAGCCTACTGATGCGTCTTTTGGGAAAGTGCAAATCTTTGACTACTGGAAATCAGAAGCAGAATTAATTGCTGAGGGTGTATTATTGTCGACCGATCCTGTTGAACTAGTGAACCAAGTACCACTTGAACCGAATGCTGCAATTCTTAGAGTGGATGTGGTTGTGAAATCTGATGCTTTTATTTGGAGACCTACTCCTGAAATGACCAAGATGGGTGATGCTCTACATGGGAAAATTGCATGGCCTATCGATAAGATACTACTATCTGATGCAGATTCACCAAAAGAATCAAACAAGAATTCTATTCAGGTATGTTTCTGAAACTTCTTATTTATTACTTAACTAAAGTAGTATGATTCTTGTTGGTGTATGAACTTCTTTTTAGATGATAGTTGGATTCAATGATGATTGTGTTGATTGTTTTTGTTATTGTCTTTCGTTGTAGAGTGGTAGTAACAACAGTGGTTGTAGCAGCAAAGGTGGTAACCACAAGTGCGCTCTCTTGGACTGTAATAACTCTGGACAGAGAGTGGCTTTAGGTCGTGTGTTCTCAACTGATCCAGAAGAAAAGGTGCATTTCGTCCCTTTAGGTCCCAATGCTTCTAAGGTTTGGGTAGAGGTTTCCGAGTTCCATTGGGCACGAGTGTGGAGGCCAAACTCAGAAATTGAATTCATTGGTGATGCAATTGGAAGCACGGTCGCTTGGCCAAATGACAAGCTTTTTTTAATGTAAGAAAGATCTATTGCTTTTGAACTTGTTATGCTATTATGCTAGTTGCAGCACACTTCGAACTACCAATGTTGATTTCTCTCCTTTTGTAATATTTGACAAGAATGTTTTAATGTTGAATCTTTTAAGTTTATGTTGTTTAATATAATGTCTGACAAACAAAAAATCGAGTATATATAAAAATAAATAAATATATATATAAATTATAAAATGAAATATATAAATATTATAATTATTTAAATACGCTATATAATAGCATCAATATTAGCTGCTATAATTTCAAAATAATATATATAGCATGAACTACTAATTGCTATATATGAATTAAATATAACTTCTCCAAAACGTTGTTAATAATATAACTAATAACATTAATGACACGCTATTAAAAAGGTTATTATTGCAGATAAAAAAGCGCTATCGCTTCCAAAGAAAAGATAGCATCGCGAAAAAGTGTTATCTAATGTGTCGTATCTACTATGACGGGCGATGATACAACATTCCTTAAACCGCTGTTGAATCGGTAGATAACGTTTTTCGTCCGCTAGTAAAGCTCATTTTTCTTGTAGTGATGAGAGCTTTCTACTTTTCATGGTTTCAGTTTTTATGTTGTTTCATTTCCTCTTTCGCTGCTCCACCTCTCCGTTTTTGCAGAGGTTTTTGCTCGTCTTGCCACGAACACATTCTGCAATCTATAAAACAAAAAAAAAATAATTTTTTCAGCGAGATACGCTAGCAGAATTTAAGTCCAATTATTGTTTCCTCCTTTTAAACCTCTCAACAATACTCTTTTCTTTTCTTCTCCTGAGAAGAGAGACCTTTCTATCTAAGTTCATGGTACCAAGCAAAAAAAAAAAAGATGAATCCAGGAAAAAAAAAGAAGAAGTAGGAGAGTGTTGTTATCTTTAATAAAATGAGAAAAGAACCCATGATGTTATTGACCGTTTGAAACAAAAACAAATCCACCGTTGACATATCATAAGCAAGAGAAACAAACAACTTTAGAATGGAGTATTGCCTAAATGAAACGACCCTCACACAAACACCAACAACAAATCAAATACAAACCATAAGAACAGAACCAAACTACATCAAACCTAAGAGCAAAATCGAACAACAAAAAAAAACTAACAACAATAAAATCGGAGGGAACCAGAACCTGCGAACCACACTTGAACAGTAGAGTAGCGGTAGGATCTCAAATCAGAGAAGATGATCGAGGAGTTGGACATATCACATAAATTAATCTTATCTTTGGTGTTTTGACGGATTGAGAGGATGATCTTCATGTGAAGAAAGCTAACCTTTTTATAGGTGTAGAGTAAACCGCCTTTCAGAGGGATAACTCATAATAACGATCAGATCGCGCTTGATGTCGGTGTGTGGAGTTAAGAAGGGAATAATGGCACTGATTTGAAACTCGGACGATTACAGTTGTAAAGAGTAGAAGTCCAAAAGATCCGTATGGAGACAAACAAAGAGGCTCTCTATCTTGATTTCAGTCATCAGTCTCTCTAGACGCCATTGTTGGTATGAGAGAAAACAAAAGAAAAATTTTAGGTCTCGGAAGAACACGAAGATGAAGACTAAAGAGGGCAACTCATGTTTTGGGCTCTAATTCTTATAATTAACTGACAGCCCACGAAATTCCCTTTCTGCGTTTTAATAGACAAGTGTTGTTGAGGTGTATTGAGGAGAAAAGAATTCCCTTCTTCTTAATAGTATAAGATATTTGTTTTTCTTTAACTATTATCTAGATTTGATTTATTTTTCCTACATAAAAAAATATAATACTGAACCATTAGTTCGACATCAGAACAGTCTAAAATTCATATAACATGAAATAAATAAATAAAGTTTTGGTTATCACCGGAAAAAACGAAAAATTTAATCATTTAACCAACACAAACCCAAAATAAATATGATTTTAGAATGATACTTATATTTTAGTAGATTAAAAACTGGAAAATCAACCAAAAACTGAACTCATATCACGATAAAACAAATTTAATGTCTTCTTATTTAAAAAACTAACAAAATAATCTCATCCTGTGAAAGGCACAGATTATTATCTAGGGTTGAGTAAAGTATCAAATCATCTATTTAAATCGACACAAACCGTCCCTAAAGGGTTTGGTTTACTCATTAATCATTATATTCTACGTAAGTTTTTGTCTTTTCATGATCCTTCCTTTAGGTTTACCAGCCTGCTTCTGATTCTTCATACTACTCTGTTTCCCGTGACTATCATCTTTATCAGTTACAACTTCTTTACAAGCAGAAACATCCTCCTTGGCCTTGACCTTGTTTTTCTTGCCTTTCCTCTTCTCAACAAAGCTAATTACTCCACGTAGAACAACATCAGTATCATCATCCTGCATCAACTCTTCAGCTAACTCAGCAGGAGTAACCTCCGTAGAATCTATCAGCTTCTCGATTTCTTCACATAGAGGATGGTTTAATCCATCTATACCAAGGTAATTAGTAACCAATGTCCTAAATGCTAATCCTGTACAGTACGACATATTGATATGCATATCCATTCTTCCAGGACGTAGCAACGCAGGATCAAGCCGGTCTTTGTGGTTTGTCGTGAACACGATGATTCTCTCATCTCCAAAACTTGACCATAACCCATCAATGAAGTTCAGAATCCCTGACAGAGTCAACTACTCAAGAAAATATTAGTAAGTACCAAATATATTATCACAAATCAAAACTCAAACTTATTCACAAATTATTTCTTTTTCTTTTTAAATATCACCTGTGAGTCTTGATCATCATCACTTTCATCATCAACATCATCCCTGTGTTTCCTCTTTCCTCTACCTTTTCCACTTCCTTGAATCTCATCTTCCCTATCTCTCACCTCAGCATTGCAATCAATATCCTCAATCACCAAGATAGAACGATTCGTGGTGGATAACAAAACCCTCTTCAGATCAGCATTGCCATAAATACTGCTAAGATCAAGATCAAACACATCGAACTTTAGGTAATTAGCCATCGCGGCTATCAAGCTAGATTTACCGGTACCCGGTGGCCCATACAGCAAGTAACCTCGTTTCCATGCTTTACCAACTCTCTTATAAAACTCTTTCCTCTTAAGAAACCTATCCAAGTCATCGATTATCTTCTTCTTCGCACTAGGATCCATCGCCAACGTGTCGAACGTGGAAGGATGCTCGAGACTTATACATCCCCACCCCGCACCAGCACCACCTCCATCGTCGTCCCTGCACCCATGCACATCTCGGCTATAGAGATTCACCACTCTCAGGCTCTTCTTGATCTTTTCCGACTCCGCGATAACGTGGTTCAAGTAAGAGTCCAAGACTCTCTCTCTCAGCTTCTTCTCGAATTTGAGCTCGTAGTGCCTTTTTGCTTTATCACTTTTATCACTCTTCTCGTTCTCTGTAACACATAACCACTTCACCTGGAAGTCCTCGAAGGTATCGCGGATCGCTTCTCCTTTTGCAATCGTGACAGTGAAGTGCTTTTGCTTCGAAGTTTTCGACACGCGTAAACGCTCTGTCTCAGGGCCGATCTTGGTCCGGAGGTACATCTCCGCCGCTTCGTAGACTTGGTTCTTCTTGAACTTGGAGTTCTCGTCGATAATCAACGTGAGATTCTTCGACTTGGGAGTGAAAAATCTTCCCATTAAGTTCTCGTAGATGTAGGAACGGAGCTGCTCCGGTACGAAATCGTTGAGCATCGATCTAAAGAGCATCATGGACCCACTTAGGGATGCATACACCGAGAACATAGCCGACGGTGAGAAAGATGAATTGGATGAAGGAAACATCTCCGATGACCTAAGCGATGGATAGGTTAGGGTTTACTATGGAAAGAGGCGATATTGTTTTCAGGTTTTATAGGCACATAATTTTTTTAATTCCTTTAATTTATAACTTTTACATATCACCTATATATTAACTAAGAAACATTTGAAAATATATAATCTTAAGTTTGTATTAATTAAAAAATAACCCAATTCCTACGTGGCACCTCTCTATACTTTCTATTTCAAAATAAAATAGTTCTAGAGCTTTTAACATAAAGTATAGTCTAGAATTATACTCTTTAACAATATAACTAGGATAAGATCCGCGCCTTGCGCGGGATGAAGCTATTATTTTTATTATGTTTTAAAAAATGAAACAATAGTTCGGTTTCATTCGGATTAGAGGTGTTCAATCCGGATATCGGTTTTCGGTTCGGCTCGATTTTTTGGTATTTTGATCATTAAAATATAACAACTATTCTAAATCTATATGTACTTCAGTTTGATTTGGTTTATATACCACCGGTTTTCAGTTTATTCAATTTTATACCAAAAAACATAATTATTTAGTTTGAGATCATATTATATATTATACAAATATATAATATGATCATATTTAGAGTCATATTGTCACAGAGTCATTTATTAAAAAAATATTATATATTTAAATAAAAGAATAAAAAACAAAAAAAGCTTCTATCATTTAATAAAATGATCAAATCTAGAATTAATATCAAAACACTAAATTTTGAAAATAAAAATAAAAAACAAAACAGAAGCATGAAAGAAAAGTTTTTATATTCTTCCATATTTAGTTTTCATCAAACCAATATGTCTTCGATTGAACACAACTCTGTTTGTTTAAAGATAAAAAAAGTTGTAAAGAATTTCAACTAATTGTTGTCTATCAAATTTATAATCTTTACTTCAATTTAGTTATTGTTAAAAAAAACAAAAGATCAAAATAAGAAGTCTTAGTTGTAATAAATTTTTAGCTATTTACACATTATAATTATAGTTCAACTCATGTAACAAATAGATATTCATGCGTCGTTATAAATATATACATATTTACATGTTTCAGTTTAATCGATTATAAATCAAACCATATACAAATCCTATGGTTTTTATAAAATCACATCCATTCGGTTTGTATGGTATATACCAAAAATAACCATATTATCAATTGTTAATATCTTTTAAAAATATAAAATTTAAAAAGAACTAAGATATTTAAATCATTGATAACAAAAAAATTTCAATGTGAAAAATTTAATAAGTTTATAATTTATAAATGTTCTTGAAAATTTATTGAAAATTTTGAAATTAAAATATTTATGTAATCTTATATGGTATATAGTTTAATCTGTATATATATATATATATTTGTTTTATTATTGAATGATACTTTTTTACTTATATGGTTTTAAAATCATGTATATCTTTTTATAATAAAATGTTAAACTATTGATCATTAATTTTTAACATAATAATTTTAATAGTTTAGTTATTTATTCTCGTTTCTTAAAATTCAAAATATAACATATACGAAAAAATCTAAAGTTTAATTTTATAGCTAATTTGATTGTTTAATTTATTTTAATAATA